ACGAATGATGTCAATGCGAGCCTTAGGGAAGCAACAGTTGCATGATTAAGACCAGGAGGAGGTGCAAGTGCTAGATAACAAAGCCAGGGCTTCCACAGTTAGGGGGTATCTGCTAAAGCTGGAAAAGGGGCCAAAAATGAGGCAGAGCCCGCTTCCCTGCTCGGCTTGTGGGATAAACACATCCTCACCTTGTTTAGGTTATTCTCATAGATCTCGTTCAGGCGCCTCACGTAAGCATCGCGCTTCTCTTTAATTGTTCTGGAACAGAGTGGGAGCTTTACTGTCACGGTGAGTGAATGAACCTACACAGCTCAGCGAAAAACCATTCCACCCCTTCGGTACGTGGCACTCACGCCACAAAATCAAACAGCCCCGAGCTACCCAGCAGGCAGCCTTCGCCGCCAACTCGAGTGTTTTGTGCCTGCCTTCCCTGTATCCACCTTTTCCAGAGTCTCTTCCCAGAGCTGGTTTGCTACCCCTCCTTTCCAAAATTCAGGAGGAATCCCCGACACATTGACTTTCATCCACGGGGAGCCTCAAAGCGGGCAGGGATCCCTTTTTGGGTGGACGATAAGCCTGTGCGCTGGGGAGATGGTCATTTCCTACCGTCTCTTTTCCATATTTACCTCCAGTTGAACGTGACACCGGGCGTTTCGAAGCCATAGTCGGCGTGATCGTGGATGAACTCCGCGTGGACCGCCGCGTTCCACATCACCTGCCCGCAACAAACCGCACATTTTAGGGGGAAAAAAAACCCAACAAACCCTTGCCACGCTTCCTGACGCTCTCCCTCTACCTGGAGCAGCCCATGGCTCACGGCATCCCAATGGCTCATCACGCTCCCAGCCTCTTTCCTCCCTGCTTCTTCCTTCCCTCCCCACACCCCGTGCCAGCACCTCCCCGCAATTTCGCAGACACCCATGCCGGACCCAACCCACGGCCGAGGCGAGGTGGGAGCCGGTGGCGAAAGCGCCCTTACCTTCTTTGGCACGCACCCAACATTGACCTAGGAGGGAAGGAAAAGTTTCACCATTAAAGGCTTTATTGTATCTTTTGTTTTATCAGGTACCGAATCCGATCTTTTCTACCCAGGAAAACAAAGGCAGGATTATGGGATTCTGGTAAAAGAGGGCTGTAAGCACCTCTGGCGCCTCAAGGTCTTGTGGTTTGTCTGTTTTCCTTCACTTCCTTGAAGGAGAATACAGGAGGTGCACCGCCTTCAAATACAGGAGTGGTTTTTTCCATCGATAATTTAAAAGATATTTACTAGGAGAAGGGTGTTAGCTGTGCCTTCCCCACACTTGTGGTCGTAGTACGGCAACTCTTTCAGGGGAAATGCACTTAAAGCGTAAAACTAGAGTCTCTCCCTGGCTTGTTTGAGGAACAAGTTTGGGTTTTTTCCTTTCTTGTTACCGTTCTGCTTTGCTGCCCTTCACCGGTAACCGAGTGAGCAGCTGTGCTGAGCAGAACCAGCACTCGCCAGCAACCTGTTACCGGCCTGAAAACAAGGAGAGAAAGAAAAAAAACACCAAAAAAACCACAGGGGAGGAAGGAATATCAGAGCCAACCTTCTTTCCTGCAACTCAGCGTGACAAGGCAGGTCGTTGCGCAACTCCTGGATGGAACTTCTGTCCCCTCCGGCTTCACCCGGCCGCAGGACCCAGAACAATCCCTTCTCGCCAGCAACCTGTTACCGGCCTGAAAACAAGGAGAGAAAGAAAAAAAACACCAAAAAAACCACAGGGGAGGAAGGAATATCAGAGCCAACCTTCTTTCCTGCAACTCAGCGTGACAAGGCAGGTCGTTGCGCAACTCCTGGATGGAACTTCTGTCCCCTCCGGCTTCACCCGGCCGCAGGACCCAGAACAATCCCTTGGGGAAACCAGGATCCCCTCTCGGGGGGACCGGGACGAACCCCAGGGGAGCCGGGACCAGCCCGGTGGAGACTGGGACGGATCTCGAGGGAGCCGGGACCAGCTCGATGGGGACT